CTGCTTAATGAGATTTGCTCAGTATTACTATGATTACTTTTTGATATATACCTAATTAAACTTATTCGTAATATTTTTATTAATGGCTGTCAATAATTTAGCTCGATTTGAAGGAGATATTACTATTTTTAATGCTCAGAAACCTGTTTGTGAAACTGGTTTGCTTAAAACTGCTCGGAAGCAATTATTCATTCCGAATATGATTTTTTAATTATTTTCTACTAATCAAACTTGTTATTAACATCTTTTCGAATAAAGTTAATTATTACGAAAAATTATTCTGACTGTTTTTTTAGCAAGTTATTTCTGTATTTTGAAAGTTAGTTTAGGTTACACGAAGTAGGATAACATCTCTACTCGTAATATTGCAGCATTACATAAGTACTGCGTCGCGGCATTCGGAAGAAAAGATAAGGCCATAATTGTATTTTTTTTCGGTGATAATATCCGTCAACTTTATTTTGACCACTAGTTATCTAATTTTAAAACTTCGGATAAATATTTATCCTTCTCTATAATTCTACGTATAGATTTTGAAAGAACGTACTTATGTTTTGATTATTAATGAATTTTATTATGATAAATATTTAGTTTAGCTAATATATAAAATATATATATATAATAATACCTAAAAAAATTTACTTTCGACAATTCAATTTATTCTACAACGCTATCCAAATTGTTTATTGAAACTCTTATATAAACATTCGTATATTCCCTTCTATTTTTTAATTATTCGTTTTAATCTTATATTCCTATATAAATATGTCTGAATCAAAGCCAATATTTCTATGGTGTAAGTAATATCCTATAAAATATTCAATAATCTCATTCTAAATTTTCTAAAATTTATTTTATTTTTTTTTTTCAATTAATTAGCACATCCCAGATCAGTTTCTCATGCATTTCAAAGAGCATTCCTTCAACGGCCTCAAGAATTTCATCACATTACTTATCCATTCATGAAAAATGGATTAGATATAATTACGCAACACTTAAAAGATGTTAAAAATGGAATTATTGACCCTTCAAAACCTCCAGATTTTAGTTCAATTATACCAGTGTTTGATTCTAAATTTGATGAAATTTGGTCAACATATAATGATGAATCGCAAAATAAGCCAAAAAGAGTATTTTGTAAAGATCATACAAAATTTTTTTTAATGGCTGCATCAGGCACTTCTTTATTTTCTGATCCACGACTTTTAGAAATGACTCATACATTCTTAATCCGTGATCCTGAAAAGTCAGTAAAATCCTTGTATAAAGCTAATGAATTTATATTTAAAAAAGCATCCACATCCGAAGATAATGAATTTGAAGAATTAGCTGAATTCAGAAAAGAGTTCGTAGGACTAAAGGAATCAAAACAACTTTTTGATTATTTAAAAGAATTGAATAAAGAACCTATTGTAATAGTTGCTGATGATCTAATTGCTAATCCAGAGAAAGTGATGAAGAAATATTGTGAGATTATTGGAGAAGAATTTAAGGAGGAAATGATTCATTGGGAATCTAAAGAAGTTAATGAGTGGAACACAGCGAAAAAGCATAAGGAGATGGCATAGTAAGTTTATTATATAATTCTTTTTTTTTATTTATAATTAAAACTTAATTATCAATTTTTCTGAATCAAAATTTTTTAATTATTATTAGTAATGCAGAGCATAGTACAGGTTTTAATAAGTTTACAAACAAAGTTGAAATTGAAATCGAGTATCCACAGATTGTATATGATGCAATTGACGAAAACAAACCGTATTATGATTATTTATATCAATTCAGAATTTAAAAATTTTTTTATCAAAATAATATTTTAGAAAGTGAGAATTTCTTAAGTTTATTTTTTTTTTATAAAAGTCATTTTTCATTTTTTTTTTTTTTTTTTTTTTGGAAATACATGTATTAAATTCATTGTAATCAAATTAAATTTCAATAAATTTTTATATATTTTTAAGTTTCGTATATATATTCTTTTATATAATCGATTCTCGATAATCTAGAATCGATTCAGAATCGATAATTGAATCTTAAATCATTATAAAGCTCGTTTATTTATAACGTTTGCAAGAAGGTATGACTAGGGTTGTGTTACGAAAATTACATTCTTACATTTCATGTTATTTTACCTAAGTTTCAGTAAATTAAATTTCATGTAATTTTCTTCGAGTGTACCAGCATTACATAAGTTTAACCTGTATTATTGAAAGTGATGAAAATTTATAACAAGTAAATTCATCATGTGTTCATGTTACGTAGTTGACATTGAACCTAGCTGCCGCGCGGATGATCCTCGATTTTGATTGGCTAAGAGCGACGATCAAAATTTTGGCCGGAATTACTCAAAATTTTACTAATGAAATCACTGCTGCGTATTAAGTGAAAATTGTTCCTGGGCTTATTTTAGTATAACGCGGGCCTATTTCTTTGAAAATTTATATTTTTAGAATGAAAAAGTTAAAAAGTTAATTCCGGCCAGAATTGAGTAAACAATTATGTAATGCGGACCAAAATTTTGCAGATCTACGGCCGTTAGCCAATCAAAATCGAGGATCATCCGCGCATTTGTGCGGCAGCTAGGTTCAATCGAGTAGACCCGGGGGTCAACAGATCGACTAAGCACGGGAGCACGCAAGTGCTACAAAAATGATAGCAGTACAACACAGTGTTGGCCTATGACCTGTTATGACCTATTGGCCAATTATAGGTTATGACCTTATGACCTGTTATGACTTATAAAATTTACCAATACATTATAAAGTTGGATATGACCTAAAACGGCCAACACTGGTACAACACCAGCCACATTTAAAATGTGATAGCAAAAATAAGCACATTGAGAAGGTGTGATTTGGTTCCCAGACCGATACTAGTCCGGAGGCTATGTCACACGAGGAGTCGGGTCTACAAGCAATCAACACAATACTACTATCAATCCAACAATCAACCCTAAGTTGGAAGGCTGAAAGAGGTCGTGGAGGATTTGGTCCGGGTTTTAGGATTGCAGTGTGGATTTCTTTAGGTAGGTGTCCTTGGGTTCTTGGGCTTTTATTACTCTTGTTCGGGGTTTAATCTTTTGGGTTCTTATACTATTGAGAAGGATTACGGGGCACGTGATCTGGTCCTTCTTGCGATTGGTTATTGATTTAAACAATGGGAATCTATAAGACTAACTAAGGGGCGATTGATTATTGTTTAAATTGATCGGGATTTGATTATCGGGGGGGGGGGGTAATTGGGATAGCGAATGTGGTATTTGGGAGTTATTTTCGGGGTTTTTGAATTGTCTCAAACTTGAGATGATTTTATTGAAGGTAAAAAGGCATCGCTTTTATACTTTTAGCGATGTTCAAAAAATACATATTGAATATTTAATATATTTAATTTATCTAGTATATCGTATATTCCTTTTATCGTATATTTCTTTTATCCCACATATCCGATATACCTTTTGTCGTATATTTCATATATACCACATTTCATACTAACTATGGGGAAGGATTTACACTAGTCTTCTAATTATACAGGTTTGTACTATAAACAGGTTAATCAAGAATCTACAACTAAAAATATAATATCGTACTACGTCGAAGCGCAGTATTTCCGGAGGGTCAAAATTGACCTTTACAACGTACTGTACGCTAAAAAAATCCGAGTATCATATAAATGGCACATCACTAACTATACTATATACGTACTGTACGTACTATACGTATACTTGTTGGCAAAATCCCAAACTATTATAGTTTGGGTTTGTCCGTGGCAAAATCCCAAACTCTGGCAAAACTCATATCTCAAAAATTTTATTAATAATCTTTATTCAAACTTATATCATATATTCTTATACTTGTATATCATATATTGGAGAAATTTTAAGATTATTTTTTTCATTCAATTTTTTATAATTAGCAATTGTTTTTTAGAGTTTGTCCAGGTTTTGCCATTTTGCCAACAAGTATAACTATACGCGAAAAAAATTCAGGTATCATATAAATGGCACACCACTAATGATGGGCATGCGCGGGATTTTTAATATGATCCCCAATTCAGGCCAGCCGGCCCGCTTTAATATAATTTTAAGAAACCCACGATGAAATCCTATCCCGCGTATTACGCGCGGATCACGCGCGTAACCCGCATCCCGCGCGGGATATTTTGGAAAACCGTGATTTGCCATCACTAACCACACGCAGCTCATTTCATAATTGGTTGTCTGTAAAATAGACTTGTCAGTGAATTAATTGTCTATGAATTATTATGTCTGTGAAATGATTGTCAGTAAAATGATACGGACCCTTTTGATATACGTTTGAATTTTCAAGAATTTAAACGAAAATATTTTGTTAACATCCACCTAACCAAAATCGGCATTTTTTTTTTATCCAGTATAGTTAAAATAAAATAAAAATTATTAAATTTGGTTAGGTGATTGTCGAGATTTTTACTCAAATGTTAAAAAAAAAAAAAAAAAAAAAAAATCAATTTTTATCTACCTGTCTGCAATAAAATCGCAAATACCAGGTATACTATTAATGGATAAGTTTAATTCACAGATGAATTTTATAATGAAATACCTAAAGGATCACATACGGAATTAAATAGTTGAAATTATTTGTTAAATTATTTACATAATTTAAAATAAATAAAAATTGTACAATAAATAACTTTGAGTTGTTTTAGAAATTGAATAAATCTTTCGAAGTTTTACAGATTATAAAATTACGCCCTGGAGCCGTAGTAGTCCTTATGAATGTTATTATTTTAGTATCAGTACTTCGTTCCATTTCTGATGTTTTCATTACACACTTATCCATTTGCATAAATTGCCGATATAATATCAATAATCTAGCCTTTCTTGGAAATTTGTTACATTATTTTCAAAAAATGTAAATAAAGTATTTTGTGTAATTATTTATTGATACAAATTGAAACTTTAATACGTATATTCGATTAAATTTCTAACGCTGTATTATCTTCAAGCGTTAGACTTATCTATCAGCATGCCGCATAGGATATTTTATCAATACGTGAATAGGTTCGTTCATGATGAAAAAATTAACTTGATAAAATATTCTGAGTTTAGACAGCCACCAGACGAATCTGTCGTTTATAAGGATAATCGAACGCAGACTATTAAAAAGTTATGGAATAAAACGACTGTAAATTTATGTTTACTAAAAAATTTAGATAGTTATGATGATATAGATGTTGGAAGTTTGAAGATTGAGGTATATATACACACTTTTTTTTAAAAGCTTTTATATTCAAACCAACTAATGCAACTAATGCTTATTAATTTTAGTTTAAAAATTTTGTGCATGATAATGTGCTAAAAGTTTATGGTCTAACTTATGGTGAGTGCCAATTTAATTAAATTAATATCGTAGGATAGCTAAAATTAACTCATGCAAAGACATCCTAATTGAAATCTGATCACTTGCATTAATTTAATGGTCTAAAAACCTTTTATTTTGATTAAGAACTACTAACCAAAGTACCCAGTGTGATGCGATTTTTTGATTTTTACATAGCGAAAAAATTAAAAATCACGTGCGTTGCACGACTGTTTGCATCACATGTCATATATAAATAATAGTTTATAAAATTGATCTACATTATTTGTCACATTGGTACTTTAGTCAGTAGAATATTTCATTTATAAAAATTTTTTCGCTAATTTTAAACTGAGATCCTCACAGTTATTGCGATTCTCAGAGCCGGCTTGCAATGCTATGCAAATAACAGAAATATTAACCTTTCAATTAATATTTGGTTTATACAATAGATGGGAAAAATTATTTCTTCGTTCGTGAATATGCCGCCATAGATCTACGTAGTTATCTTAATCAAAAGAATTCAGAGGGTGCTCCTCTAGAATGGAATAAGAAATTGCTAATAACTAGCCAAATAGTTGATGGATTAAAATTTCTTCATAGCAAAGGCTTTGTTCACTCGGATATGGTAATAACCTAAAAATTTTAGATTATTTATTATTTTATCTAATATATTCAATATTTCATTATGTTTATTTATTAGAATCCAAGAAATGTCGTTTTGCATAACGATATTCCAAAATTAACCAATATTGGAATGCCACAATCTCGATCATTTGATGAATCTTCATTTTATAATTATGACCCTCCTGAAATTTTGCTTTCGCAAAAGATTGAAGATAGAACAAAGTTAAATATCTATGGTCTGGGTTTATTAATGTGGGAAATATCTAGTAACGGTGTTGAACCTTTTCATAAATGGAATTCTGTTCAAATTATTAATGGTGAGAGAGAATTGCCAATAGAAGGGACACCGCTTAAATTTATTGAACTTTACGAGAAATCTTGGGACAATGATCCTGGTATATATTTATTATTTTATTAACAACTTTGAAAATTAATGCATATTAAATAAAAGCTTAATATTATGTATAGAGTATCGGCCCGATTGCGCAGAAATACTGGAGATATTGAAAAACATTTCCCTCGAGCAGAAAATTGAGAGTCCGCCTGTCCGAAAGCCATCCGATATTAACAATATTGATTGTAAATTAGATGAGGATTGTCAATTGGATTTTTATGATATGTTAAATGTCAATAAACTTAGAGTTGAATTCATTAATCGTTTTGCATTGAATAAAGGTCGAAATATTAATGGATTTGATTTTAGTCGCGCGAATGAATTTATTTTATATGATCATAGCGATCCAAAGATATGTAAAGTGTATAAGCAACCTCCAATTTTCTATATTCCTAAAAATCTAGTCTCACCTTGGATGAAGTTAAATAAATTTAGTTTGTTCGAAAATCAAGACACAGAGATAGAGGGACTAAATGATGACGCACAAATCCATTTTCCAATTGCAACAGTACAATATACTTGTAAAACGACTGATAAATTTATTCAGGATATTAAAGATGTGCTTAAAAACTCAGACCAGTCTGAGTATAAAAGGAATTTAGAAAAAGTATTTAATAATTATGGTCATTACGTGGCTACAAAGGTTACGCTTGGTGGTGTACTTACTATTAAAAATTGGTCAAGAGTTTCTGCTGAGAGTAGGTCATACTTAAGGTGTTACATTCAGTGGGGAATAGATTATGGTCAAGGTAGTGCTTCAAGAATTTTTGAAGATGTTCCGCTTAATAATATACCTAAACTTGAGGCCACAATGTTTATGGGAACTATGAGAACTATTGGAAACTTATATTCTTGGTTTAAAAATTTGTATGATTGCAAATTTGCAGAAATTATATCATATGATGAAGTTATACCATCATATGAACTATTGCCTGATGATTTTAAAAAAGAATTATTCAAACTTACTAAATTAGTGTCCGATAAAAAACCTTATGAAACATTAATCCCAAATATTCCAACCGAATGCGAGAAACAAGATATGACGAAATGGATAATAAAAAATCCGCCAATTGGTATATTTTTTAGTAATTGGATTTACGATTTTTCATTACAACGTGGCGTGATTTTACAACACTCAGGCCTTGAACGTGGAAGAAGTTCAGCCTTTAAATTTTTAAAAGAGCCTAAAATTACCGAGCTAAATAAAATAACAATTTTATTAGCACAACCTAAAACTCGTAAAGAAGCCTATATGTTAGAAAACGGTATAATATTAAAAGATGAATTAGAACTTGAAAATGTTCCTTTTGCTGATTATAGTTCGATATTTAGCCAAAACGATAAATATCCCAAGACAATTTATTGCCAAATTATTTTCCATGCAATAAAGCTTTCTTCCAAACTTTTGGACTTTAAAGCTTTATCTGATTTTTCGATTATGGTAAATTCTGCACTTCAAGATAATATGCCGTATAAAAAACTTAGTGAACTATTTGGTAATAATTATGGTCATTTATTACCAAGAACTTTAATTTTAGGTGGGATTTTGTCAAAAACGTATGAATCATATACAGACATAATTTTGCCACAAAACATTGTTTTTGAATATGATATGAATGATCCTCAAACACCTAAAAACATTGAAGAAAAGTTAAACGAGTGGAATTCGCAATTTCAACATTTGGATACATCAGTTTTCTTTAGTAATAGTGGTGATGTAGTTCACCGTAATAAAATTAAAGATTGGTTAATGGATCTTTCCGAAAATAAACGTAGTTGGAATGTTGTTACTTTTGAAGATTGGACACCACTATATAAAGTTTTGAAAAGAACACAACAAAAAATTGATGAGATTTTTGATGAAACTTACCACATTGTTTTTAATGGGGAAGAATCTTTAACTCAAGATCAAACTACAACAATTATTAAGTTTCCTGGACCGCTTATTGATGATAAATATTATATTTTCGGAGTTGTAGTAAGGAGAAATAGATTGAAAGGTCTCGATAAATATGAAGGAATTCCTAAGATTTCTGTTCGTTTTGATTATCCTAACAATAATAGCTGTGTTGCATATATATATAAAAATTGTGATGAAAGGTATTGTATATTTGTATTACAGTATTTTTATTTTATTTATTTAATTGTCTAATAAATTATTTATCAATTAAAGCTTATTAATCGAAGCAGATATGAAACTTCTTTGGTTCGTACTCGCTAACCCAAAAGGATACTGCAGTGGCATAAACAGAAGTATCAAGGTTACTTATGGTGAACTTAATGTTGACAATACTCAACCTGTAGTAGCACAGCCGACAAGTAAAGAGCTCACTTCAAATTGCGTTCTTATAACATCAATTGTTTCTAGAAAAGATACAATATTTTATAATATTAAACCCAAAAATTGGTCGAAAACGAAAATTAATATTGAAATACTAGAAGAATGCATAATTCCAGTTGATAATTCAAAAAAGGATGAAGATGATGGTTTCGGTGACAAGGACTCAGATGATGGTTTCGATGACAAGAACTCAGATGACGATTTACCAGAACAAGTGGTTCTTAGATGGTGTGTAATTGATGCAAGTGAAAGAGAAGCTATAGTTAGTTTGGGCAATATGTGCCCATTATCTTTGTTTGGAAATTATCTCAACATTGAGGACGAAATTTTCGAAAACACGGAAAATGTACCACGATTTCCACCGCAAATGTTATTAGAAGATGCAATTAAACAACACACTATTCCAAATGGCAATACGCTTGAGGCATGGAAGACATTCGTAAATCATTCTAGAAAAGGAAACTTTATTGCTGATTATTGGATTGGATATTACTTACAACAAGATATTCTAAAATCAAAAAATCTCTATGAAAATTCCATTGAACCTGTCATTCAAGAAGAAAGTCCATACACTCAAGCCGCAATGGGGTATTTTAAAAAATCAGCTGACAATAATTACTCTGAAGCACAATTAAGATATGGTTATGGTCTTTATTACGGTAAAGGTGTTAATAAAGATCAGAAAGAAGCTATTCGATATTTCAAACTAGGTGCAGAAAACGATAATATTACTGCAATGTATAATTTAGGAATTATTTGGATATTTAGTAATAGTCAAAATGAAAAGGAAGAAGGTGAGAAATGGCTGATAAAGGCGGCAGGACTTAATCATCAAAAAGCTATCGAAGTTTGCGATCAGAGAAAAATTAATTATAGAGAGTGAATAGCCGTTAAAAAAAAAAAAACTTATTAATATCTGACAACACCTGACGTAATCCAAATTTTTCTGTGAATTAGTCGGGATATATTAAACAGGTTTGATTGACATAAAGTTTAGAAAGCGATAGTCTATTTACTTTTTTTGTAATGAACGTGTTCTTCATACATATATTTTAATAATGCTGACTCATTTCCAGATTGTCGTATGCTTCATTATTAAAAAAATGTATAAAGGATTTACCCATATTAATTTAAATTTCTGTAATTCTGATAAACTTTATTATCCTTATTAAATAAAACAAAAATATGGTGAATTGGTACAAGTTTATTATTTACGACTCTTATATTTATTGAAAGATAGAAGGAAGTTATTCGATTCTTAATTACTGTAGTTACGTTAATAAACTCGAGGTGCTTTAAAGCTCATGAGACTAGTAGTAGTTTTTCATTGATTTTGTAACCGTATCTATTAAGGGTAGATAGGTTTTGGACGAATTTGTATATGAAACTAAGCAAACTGGGGTTTATTTCTTTATTAAAGATTATAAGCGAAAGCCTAATTAGCTTTCTTTCTCTTTACACATTTTTATATCGCAATTTACAATACAATTACTGAACTATGACTACAACTTGAACGCATGGTCGTCACGCTTTCTAATGACTAATGCTAACGCGATTCCGACCTTACATCACGTTCACGTGATATACATTTGTTTTATGAATCTCCGATGCGATCGTTGCGTGAACTTCTAGCACGTTCGTTATGCGACACGTGCATTGTACAACGTGGTTCAATAGTTCCCTTACACTCTCCCCCATTTAAAACAGTTTCGCCACGTTTTTCAAAATCTTTTACCAAGTCTTTATATTTTTCAAGATTCTTCAGGGGTTCCCAGGTCATGTCATACAACAGGTGTCCTTTCCATTTCACCAAGTATTGTGGTCAGCAGTAGTAAGTTCTTTTGTCCAATATTGTTTCAACTTCTTGTTCTTTAGGAGTTTCATTTGTAATGTCTTGGATTGATTCAGTAGCATCTTTATCTTTGTTGGGTAATATGGCATCAATAAGGATATGTAGAAAACTGGATTAATACATAATGTTTCAGGAAGTTCTAATCAGTAAGCTACTGTTGAAATGTTTTGAATGATTTTAAAAGGATCTATAAATTTTTTTTTTTTACTTGATACAACATGCCATTAGTTGAACTTTTATTGGTATTGATAGTGAGTAAATGATTATATATTGTGAGAGTACAACTAGCCACATGTATAACTTTAGATTGTCTAATTTA